CGACTCGACCCGGGCGGAGCCCGCTGGTGCGCGGGTGACTCCTCACTCTGGCCCCGCAGAAACCCGGGCGGTGTGTGCGGAAAGAATGCCGTGCCTGGGCGTGCCCCAACTTCCTGGAGAGACTTTCGGGGTGTCACCGCGCCCGCTGCTCTGGTTCTCCAAAGTTGTACGCGAGCCGCTGCCTTGACCTTCAATTCTATCACTTTCCTGTTTAAAATAAAAACCATCATCTCGGTTTGGGTACATTTGTTTTTCAAATACATAAACTGTTGAAATATACAATTTTCCCTATGTCGAGTCTAAAGAATAATAATGTCAAAGAAATGCAAACGCCGAATATAGTAGTACTGCAGCTTCATATACCTTGGAGCAGAGCAATTTCAGAGACATCATGTGGCAGAATTTATAAATGACAATCTGCAGTAGCATTCTGTAACATTCTTCCAGCATCCTCTGCTCCTGCGGCGAACAATGACCAGGATGGGAGTGAAGCCCACCTTGGAGGCTATTGGGGACTCCTGCCCCTGCACACAAACTTTAGGCTTGGTGTGCACAGAACATTGGAAACGATTTATGTAGAGCAACAGCCTAGGTCAGCGGTTCTCAACCTGGGGGTCGAACGACCTTTTCACAGGGGTCGCCTAAGACCATCGGAAAACACATATATAATTACATATTGTTTTGTGATTAATCACTATGCTTTAATTATGTCCAATTTGTAACAATGAAATTGAGGGTCACCACAACATGAGGAACTGTATTAAAGGGTCGCGGCATTAGGAAGGTTGAGAACCACTGGCCTAGGTAGTGGTGGTGATAACAGGGACTGAGGTGCTAGCTTCTGTCCAGCAGTGGGCAACTTGACTTTATGAGTGGTACTGGAAGGCCAAGAAAGGTTGGAGCATTTCTAGTTGAAACCAGATTGTAATGGGTTGGGCATGGCCCAGACTGTCCCATAGCATTTGGCATTCCTTGGAAGCTGTGACCTCTCCACCTTGTTGCCAGACTGGTTGGTTAGATCTCATCTGAACCAACTGGTTAGGAAGTCTACACTGAGCCTGTTGCCCCACTGGCACGAGTGACTGGTGGCTGCAGATTGGAACTGATTTAGGATGGCACAGCAAGGTGTACCTGTGCCAGCCACCATCTGCCCCCACATAGCCTGGATGGGCAAGTAAGACTAACTTTCTTCCTCTGGACCAGCCAACATATATTATCAACATACCTGTGCCCATTCATTGCAGGAAAAACTTTGCCTCTCTGAGGAAGAAGCTGTGAAAGTCCAAGTTCTTTGTTTCTCTCTTACATTTTGGCACTGGTTATATCCAAGAAAAGAAAATACCTCCCTTATCATTTAATTGTAAGCAGTGTTAGCCAGGTTCATATTTGCCCACATGGATTAATGGAGGGTTTTTTCCCCCATTTCAGTAAAATTCTGCCTTTTTTAAACATTCAACTTGGGTTAGATAAAAGATAATGGTGAGTTCATTCTATCATCATTGACTTAGTCCCAAATTCAATGCAAACAAATATTTATGTAAAAGGTGCAGGGTAGAAGGACAATAAAGAAGACTTTTTTTACTCTCAAGGAGTTCAACTTTAGGAAAGAAAGTGAAGACATGTACCAATATGATAGCAATACATAGAAAGGTGTGGAAAGTCCTTCAAGTTGTGCCAAAAACCCTGGGGATATGAGGGAGAGTGTCATCACTATAT